GGTAAAGATCCGGGTGGCGGAGTCTTTAATGGTGAGAGAAGAAATATTGAACTCTCTTGGTGAAGGCAACAAAGACTTCGATGTATCAAGAGACTGCAGATTCTTCAAGTGCCAGCGGACCGCTGTACTACTAGGTACCACTGCTTTGCTCGATTCGGAGAAACTTTGACAAGGCCCGACCGTGACAGATCCGAAAAGCCGAATAAGTGCCTCATATACAGACGCTTCAACTAGCGGTCCATAATTCGTTGGTAAACTAATTTGTATTTCAAAAACGAGTACGATTGAATTCTGGAAAAATGTGGGGGAACTGTGTCCTTCTCACTCCAAGGCGGATTCCCAGAGTTTCGGCTGGTACAAGAGATGATATAGGTGTCAAGAAGAATGTTGTGGAAATATTCAGACCAACTAGACATTCGTGGGACCAGCTGGCGCAATCGGCTCTGCGCACCCGGACGCTGTGAATAGTATACCTTAAATAACATAGCGAGCCATAAATTTTGAGGGGAAGCAAAGGGAAATCTACTGGTAAGCAAATCCACGTTCTGCTTGAATATCCCAGTTACGTTCGCTAGAGTTCCCGGGACAGCATTGACAAGATTATCCCAGTAGCCGCGGCAACCCTAATCAGAGATGAATATATGCTGCCCGCTATTCACCCAAAACAACGCACCGAACTGATGTTGAACGGCGCTGGTGGTTGAGGATCAGCCACAAAAACACCGTTTTCATGGTTGTGGCCAGGAACCCACTCGGGCAATGCTGCCGCAACTTCGGCGGGGATCGGTGAACCCAGAAAGGTGTCTGGACACCGCGCGCAAGGCTTTCTGGTCCGGCGTAGAAAGCTGGGCCTTTGACTGAGCGGATAGAACTTTGCTAGAGGCTTAGAATAACGTACCTCGAAGCCAATTGTATGTAGCAATTCCACACAGAGCTCAGAGATCATGGTGGTGAGAGATAAAGGTTTAGGGGTGATCGGGGTTCACTCTTTCCTCACGCAATTTCGATCTCAAACTTCAACAAGATGTACCGCAGATGTGTGAACTGATGTCGGTCAGTCTTCTCTCCCGACTTTCGCGGCATCATCACTGTGGGAAGGATATACAATCAGCATGATCGAGGGGATGCAATCGGCCTGAGTGTACCAATTGCATCAACCTGAGTGAACCACCCAATAAACCCAACTGGTAGCATGCTATCAGATGGATTGAATTTTGGCAGAAAACACCATAAGGATGTGTGTATCTCACAGTCAGCTTGAGAGGGTTGATTCAATCGCCCTGATTGCAGGCTACCAATTGCTCCGATTGCATGTTTCAGCCAAGTCGAGATGTCAAATATAGTATATAACTTGGCTTGTAGGCCACTGCTTCGCATGGCAGTACGAGTTCAGTCCCATGAATCCTCAGTCACTTTCTAATTGCCATACTACACTTATATGTGACGAAAATTCTGGCAAGCGAAGTTCAAAGATAATCCGGGTGTTCTGCAGCAAGTAAGCATCGACACATTCATTTCATTTGGATTGCTTTGTGTTCAGCGCCGTTACACATACACACAACACGACCTGGTAGGGGTACGTGAATTTATTTGTCTTGTATATGTGTTGATACAACCGTATTTTGACCCATCCTGTAGCTTTCGAAATGTGTATTCTAATTTCTAGCTCCCTCGTCAATGCTATTGATCTTCACGACACTGTTAGCCTTTGCGTGAAAGACCCGAAGTGTCGTGTTTAGATTTTGCGGTACACTATCTGTCAATTCACCGTGCTCCACGGCGTATTTCGGTTTGTCGGATTTGATTGCAACGGGGCTCAAAATGTAGGATCCGCGCGCCGACAGTTATTGGGGTTCCGGTTTTCTTTTTTTGACGCGTCATGCAGACGGATATTTCTTTCCGCGTTCACTGAGGACTGTTCTTCGCTGGCCTGGCATGCAAATCGGTGTGTTTTATTTTTCTTCCCTTCATCGTCATGCAGACATTCATTTGCCCTCCGCTGCTGTTTCAGCATAAAATGATGTTCGATGTTCGCGAATTTTTGAGACCTCGTTTGGGACAATATTAGAATATCGACTTGATCTCGATAGCTTTCTTCGCTGTACTGGTGAACATGTTTGTTCTAAAGATATACAACAATAATTATTACTGGCAGTTTATTCTGTAATTTCGACGGAGGGGAGGCCTGACAAGCTTCAAAATGATTAATGATGTCTGTGTGTAAGAGTAATAGTGGGAATGAAAGAAAATGCTGCATGATAGGTCGCATCTGCTTGGCGCGGAAAAAGGATGCACAAGGATGCCAAAGTACAGTGAGACCTTGAAATGAGCGCATTGATGCTGGGAATGGTGTCATCCAGGATGTCCGGGATCATAAGATGTTGGAGAGCGGGAGTGGTGAGTACTTCCAGGAGCTGTTGGTGACCTGAGCCGCCGCCCAAATTCAGCGAGTGCAGATACCTCAGAGGCGCCACAGGCAGTAGGTTCCCAGCATCAACTTCAACATAGAAGTTAACATAGTCACAGCGAAACTCCCGAAGGGCAGCGGAATGCTGCAATATTTCGGTGCATTCAGCCGAAGACAAACATTGGGCGGAAATGCTCGTTAACTGCGCCCACGGCAGCTGAATCTCGAAAGGCCCAAAGGTGTTAGACAGGGCGACCTGTCTTAAAAGCGGTGCATTGCTCAACGGCGATATTGCATGTCGTGAGTCGGGTGCTACCACATAGTGGGTGGGGCCCAAAGTCAGAGAACGGAGTAAGGGGAAGTCCGCTCCAATCAATCGAAGTGATTCAATGGGCAGCTTGAAGTCGATGTATTCCCAGCGCTCAGAATGAGGTATGATGGCTTGGATGAAATCAACTAAGACCATCCCACCAGAGGAGCGCAGGAGAATCGATAGCGGGCAATTTTTGGAGCGTGATACCCAAGTTCTGAGTAAATCCAGCGCCATGGTCGGAGACGTTGTCGGAAGCCTCAATTCGATGGCTCGCCAGAGTCGCGGCGTTCTGAGCGCTATTTCACGCCACGCCCGACAAATCTGGCTGAATAATTCCGGGGAGGAGAGTCCAGTAGCTGGTGGGCGTTCGGGGTAAGGTGGGAGGAAATGAACAAATATTTCCGACGTGATTTCGGTGGGAAGGGTAAGGATGGGGTATTTGTAGGCATTGAGACGTGTCTGGAGGCCCTGCCGCTCGAGCCTGGCGGTAGCTAGCCCCAGTGGCACATCCAAGTCGGGTATGCGTTCCCGAATACTATCTGACCAGGTGGATCTCCCATTTGAAGTGCTTTGATTCCGACTTCGCGTCGTATCAGAGAGCAGAGAGTCAAGATGACGAGGGTCGGTCATGAATACGGGAGGTCCTGGAAAAAGCTTAGAGCTTAGCAGAGCAACTAAGTGAGCTCCTACCTGTAACTGTTCTTCAGCAGGTCGTGGCGCTAGACAGGATGGCAAATTCCCGCTACCTTTAGGTACGGGTTTCTATAGGGCGCCCTATCAATCAGGTTTTGGCTGTGCATCACATTTTGGTCATTTCTTTTCGCGTAAACAAGGCTCCTCCACCAATTTAAGTATGCTGTGTTGCTGTCAAGAACGGACTTTGCGTGTTAAGCGCCTGCTAAGCGCCTTCCAATCTTGCTTACGTGTGACAGCTACGCCGACTCGCACGGAATCAGACTCTATTCTGCGCCTAATCAAGATGACGGCTCAGCATGGCCTGTCGACGCCCGCACGGACGGAGCCGCCGTGGAGCGGGTGGATTACGACCACGGGCGACGCGCAAATTTTCGAATAAATTCCTTTTATTCCTTCATGTCTCCGGCGCGTGCGCTCTGGCTCGCCTTCGCTATCTCCCGCTCTTATTCTCCTCCCATCTTCTCCGCTTTTCCTCCACCCCTCCACTTCCCTCCATGGCCCGTCGCGCAGCTCTTGAGGCTTGGGCGTGCTAGTGAGTGCGTCATCATTCCTCCCGGGCCTACCGCCTTCCTTCCTTCCCTCCCTGTCTCAGTCTGTTCAGTGCTCCTCCCTCCCTCCGTCCGCACCGCCTCGCGTTCTTCTCTCGCCCCTCTCTTCCTCCCTCTTCTCACACCTCCACCCCGCTCGTCGCCTGTTTTCCTTCCTTCTGCTCCTTCCTTCTGCGCCTTGCCCCGCTCCCTGCCAACGCTCAGTCTGCCACCACCATATCCCACACCATCTCGTCTCCCCGAAGATTCCACGACGTGGCGATGGAGCTTGAGGGGATGGTGGTGTGAGGAAGATGAGAGTTGATCGCCTGGTGGCGGAGTTTGAAATGTGCGAACAGGAATGCAACCAGGAGCGCATGTAGGAAACAGAACAGGAAGAGTTTTCAAAAAGGAGGGTCAAGTGCCCCTGAATGCAAAAAGGGCCCTTTTTGGCTTCCTTTTTGTTCTCCTACTTGCAATCAGGAAGTAGAATAGGAAAACGAATAGGGAGCAATCAGGAGCCAAATAGGACAACTTTGAACGACACTATTGTCCTCTATCAGAGTGGATGCGATGCCAATTTCGCTATTAGGTCTTCCTGGCGCAATTCTGCACCTGGTTTACTGCTGTATTTTTTTTCCAGCACTTGGTGGGATGATAAAAAAAGTTCGGTGGCCTGGTAGGACCTAACCTCGGTTCGAACGAGGGACTTCCACAGATTGCAGCTGATACTCGGCCTAATTAGAGTGGACGCGATACCTATTTCGCTATTAAGTCTTTCCTCCCCTTTCCTTGCCCTTGAATAGGTGTGTGTGATCGTTTTGGGCTTTTGGCTGTGGGTTGAGTGAAAAAGAAAGAAAAAAAGGAGTTCGAAGAAGACATACAACCTACCCTTCCACTTTGACTCATATGCTTGTGCAGGTCTAAGTGCAATGGACGCGATGCCAATTTCACTATTAGGTCTTCCCGCTGTAATTCTGAGCCCCGGTTGACTGCGAAATTACTTCATGATTTTTGTGTAGTTGAATAAAAAAAAAGTACTCAAGAAATGGATCCAAGACCTAACCTCGATTCGAACAAGGGCCTTCCACAGAAACCGCAGAGTTCTTTCTCAACGGTAGTGGATGCGATGCCAATTTCGCTATTAGGTCCTTGTGTGTATAGATTGGGACTTGAGTTGGTGCGTGAATATTTGGGGTTTTTGGTGAAAAGCCTGAGGCCTGAGGGACAGCCACCCGAATTGGAGCGCAGGCATACGTGCAAGTAGCGGCTCATAGCGCATTCCAGTCTTAGCAGAGAAGCCCGCAAGTAATACAAGCAGATAGCACATGCAACTTGAAGTAAACCAATGGGGGGACGCCGGGACGGTAGTACGGGAGAGGCCGGGCAAGCCGCGAAGCTGACATAATCCCGCCAGCTTGCTGGCACCCCTCTGCAACGGCGCCGCCTCGAATCAGGACAGACGATCTGGGCACTGGCCGGAATACCACTATTACCACTATTACTAGGAGAAGATAAGCCACGCTTGGCACTGCAAGTCGAAGGCAGAATCGGAGTTGCAATCTTGAAGATGTCGGCGCAGCACACACCGCCTTTGGCATGTCGACGCCCGCGTGGACGGAGCCGCCGTGGAGCGGGTGGATTGCGACCACGGGCGACGCGCAAATTTTCGAATAAATTCGTTTTATTCCTTCATGTATCCGGCGCGCGCGCTCTAGATCTGGCTCGCCTTCGCTATCTCCCGCTCTTGTTCTCCTCCCATCTTCTCCGCTTCTCTTCCGCCCCGCCTCGCGTTCTTCTCTCGCCCCTCCCTCTTCTCACCGTAGACCGCTTTCCTTCCTTCTGCTCCTCCCTTCTGCGCCAACGCTCAGTCTGCCACCACCATATCCCGCCCCGATTTCTCCTCACCGCTCTCCATTTCTGCTTCCGTGCGGCCTGCACGGCTATCCCTTTACACCTCTCCTTCCTTCCTCCCTCTGCCCGCGCTCCTCCCGTCGGTCCGTCCGTACATACATCCATCCCTCGCTCTCTCCCAGCTGTCACTGCCCCGCGCGCTGGCCTTTCTTGTCCATCCTTGTCCTCCCGCCCCCCTCTTGCGTTCCCGTTCCCGTTCCGTCCTCTCACCGCCGCATCCCCTCCCCCCTCCCGTAATCCTCCCCGTCTCTATTTCCGCTCCTAGCCTCCCCCCGTTCCGATTCATCGTCTTCCTGCCTACCTGTACACCCTCCCCACCATATCCCGTCCCTTCTTCCTCGGCTCCCACTCATCACTCCTTCCTGCTCGTTCATTCGCCGCTGCCTACACACCTCATTTCCCGCACTCCCCGCACTCCGCGCAGCCCCCCACCCCGTCCCCGTCCGCTTCCCACCGTTTCGCCCGTTTTTGGACAGCATGCGCGCGCGCCTTCCCCCCTTTCTCTCTCTTTCCGTCTGTACCGTCCTCCTTCCTCTCGTCGTGCGCGCCCGTCCACCTCTTTCCCATTCGCCTTCACTCCGCTCTTTCCTTCCTTCGACCGCCCGCCCTCCTGTTCTCACTCCCCGGATCACACACACTGGCCTTTTTCTCCTCCACCCCCCTTTTCGTCGTGTTCTCCGCCCTCTGCTTCGCATTGCCCGTGTTGGAGCTTGAGTTTGCGCGTACCTTTCCCCCCCTTTCGCCCTCGTACCGCCCCTCCCTCCTTTCTCCCGACGCGCGCGCTCGTCCCCTTCGTCCGCTCTTCTGTTCTTTCCACTCACCCCCCATCCCGCCGCCGCTCGCTCGCGTCATCCTGTCCACTCCCTCTTTCACCTTCATCTTCGCTCCCTCCTTCACCTTCCTCCGTTTCCGCTTCTCTATCTATCCCCATAGCCTACTAACACCCACCCACAGTTGCCCCCCCAAACCGAGCTTGGCATCGACGGCGTCCCGCTGCCGCGGCGAGGCGGACGAGGTACTCGCCGCGGGCATCGGGCGATGGGCTCGGGGCTCGCGAGCGTGGTGAAGCCGAAGGCGAAGGGCGCGAGGGAGTGGGGTGCAGGCTTGAAGGGCGTGGCGGGCAGGGCGGCGCGTTCACCGGTAAAGGGGCTCGGTGGGGCTGCGATGGCGCGGAATGGTGGTGCGGCGGCGGGTGGGGTGAAGAAGGGCGCAAAGAGGAAGCGCGGGGAGGCGATAACTTCGGATGGAGAGGGGGAGGGGGAGGATTACGACGACCATGTGGACGAGGACCCAGATGCGGGTGAGGAGGAGCACGGGGGGTGGGGCTAGTGCGAGCGGGAGGGGGAGCAGCGTGACGCCGACGCCAGCCGCGAATCTGGGGCGCGAGGCGGCTGCTGCGCCTCCCGGGGCGCCTTCTGTGTCCAAGGACGAGATAGGGAGGCAGACGATGGGGATGGGTACCGCGACCGGGAAGCGCAAGGTGGCTGATGACGAAACGGGTAGGGCGCAGACGGCGACGGTCTCCCCTACCCTGGTGTCGAGCTCGAGCTCTACGGCGGTGAACCGCCGACGCCGGTAACGCGCATAGACAGCGCGGGGTCCTCAGGGTCGTTCGGAAGCGCGGGCACGTCGCCGCCCTTGTCTGCACCGCCATCTGCTACGGCGACACCGACACCGACATCAGCGCATCTGCAGACGCCAGCGCTGACACGCACAACGGGGACGTGGACACAACTACGCACAGCCATGCTCCCGCTCCCGCCGCCCCCCGCGTCGTCCTCCTCGCGCGCGGCGGTGGCGGCGGCGTCCGTGGCGATGTATAGGCAGGCTAGGCCCCACTGGTGCAGGGTTCTTCAGCTTCGGGGTTCATGGACAGTCGGCTTTGGGATTGGAAGCGTATGACGAGGGCGCGCGCACAAACTGGGCAGTACGCACACGGCTTATTATCTCGGTCGGGTGCGGGCGCAGCAGGTGCGGGTACAAAGGCAGCAAACGTACACGACACACCTCGCCGTGTGGGCGCCGGTGGCCATTTGCGTCCATACAAATTCACAAACAAAGTCTTCGAGTCTGTGCATATCCCCACCCGCGCGCGCACGTGAAGCGAGAGTGGGGAGTGGGGAGAGTACTCTGGTTCTTCTTGTCGCAGTTTTCTGGAGTCTCTGGATCTGCGAGTCGATTCACTTTCTGCGTAAACGCTGTGACGTCACAATCCGGGCCGCATCTACCGGGAATTTGTTTCTCAAGTTCTTTTTTTTTACTGGCGGCAATTTTTGGGAGCGGCTTCAAGCAACTTGACTATCCCTCGCTGCGGGCTTCTTTCTTTCCGCGGTCCTCATGTTCTATCGCTTACCGACTGCTTTCACCGCCGACTTCTCTACCTATCAGCAATTGCTTCGATTTCACCTCTCGACGTCCATCAACTTGGATCGCGCGTCCAACTCTCCCTCGCCGGATACCAAGGCAATCTTTGTAGCGTTTTTCTTGCGTGATCTCTCAGGGCCTCGCTGCACTCCGCTCCCGCCTGAATCTGATTCGCGTCTTCTGCGCGACTCGGAGCCGGTCCACTATCGCTTCTCAAAGCACTTTCTCTGTTCAAAGGCTCGCCTTATATGTTGATTCCCGTATTTCGACGTAGCATTTAATGGGTGTAGTCTAGCTCCACCTTCAATGCTATGGATCTTGACTACACTGTTTTCCTTTGCGTGGAACATCCGGAGTTACTTAGATTTGCGGTGGATTTTCTGTCGCAAAAATTCCGCGCGCTCCGTGGGTACACCATATTCAAGGTATGATTGGAATCGGGTTGGTTTCGCAAGCGTCAGAGTTCAAAATGTAGGATTCGCGCGCTGGCAGCCGTTTTGGGGGCTCCGTTGATTTTTGACGCATCGTCGTGCAGACGGATATTTCTTTTCGCGCCCGCTGAGTTGTTGTTCGATGGCCTGCGCCAATGGGATGCAAATTGGTGTGTTTATTTCCCTTCCCTATCGTGAAGTAGACAGTTATCCGCCCTCTGCTGCTGTTTCAGCATAAAACGATGTTCGAAGTTTGCGAACTTTTGAGACCTCGTCTGGGACAATACCAGAAAATCGGCTCGATATCTTGTTGATATCGACAGTTTTATTCGCTAAACATCTTCGGGACAGGGGGTCTCAGTATTGATAGATTTTCTAAGATCTACAACACTATTTGGTACTGGCAGTTTATTCTGTAATTTCAACGGAGGGGGACCTTGGCAAGCTTCATAATAGACGTTCGCTTGTAACAGTAATAGTGGGAACGGAAGGAAATGCTGCACGATAGGTCGCTTCTGCTTTACTCGTATAAAGGATGCGCAAAGATGCCAGAGTACAGCGAGACCGTAAAATGAGCGCATTGATGTTGGAAATGACGTTAAACTGGCTGTCCGGGATCGTGAGATGTTGGAGAGCAGGAGTGGTCAATACTTCCAGGACCTTCTGGTGACCCGTGCCACCTCCCAACTTCAGCGAGTGTAGGTGCCTCAGAGGTGCCACGGGTAATAGGTTACTGGAGAGAGGGTAATCGGCAAGCTCGTCACAGCGAAACTCCCGAAGGGCGGCGGAATGCCGCAATATTTCAGTGCATTCAGTTGAAGTCTGAAAGCTGGTGGAAATGCTTGTTAACTGCGACCACGGCAGCTGAATCTCGAACGGCCCAAAGGCGTTGGAAAGGGCGACCCGCTTTAAAAGCGGCGCATTACTGAACGGCGATATTGCAACTCGTGAGTCGGTCTCTTCCGCATACTCGGTGGGGCCCAAAGTCAAGGAACGGAGTAAGGGGAAGTCCGCTCCAATTAACCGAAGTGATTCAATGGGCAGCTTGAAGTCGATGTGTTCCCAGCGCTCAGAATGAGATATGATGGCTTGGATGAAATCAACCTGAAGCAGCCGAGTGGAGGATTGCAGGGAAATGGATAGAGGGCAATTTTTGGAGCGTGATAACCAAGTTCTGAGTAAATCCAGCGCCTTGGTCGGAGACCTCGTCGGAGGACTCAATTCGATGGCTTGCCAGAGTCGTGGCGTGCTGAGCGCGATTTCGCGCCACGCCCGACAGATCTGGCCGAGGAATTCCGGGGAGAAGAGTCCAATGGCCGGTGGGCGTTCAGGATAAGGTGGGAGGAAGTGAACAAATATTTCAGAGGTGATTTCGATGGGAAGGGTAAGGATGGGGTATTTGTACGCGTCGAGACGTGTCTGGGGGTCCTGCCGTTCCAACC